GTTGATAATGCCGACACCGCCACGTTTCAAGGGTAGTGACAGGCGCTTGTAGCCAATGCGTGTCCAGCCTGAGCCACGCCAGATGAAGGAGGTGGTGATCCTTTCGAGCGCTCTGATGAAGTCATCGGACCACTTGATGACAATTGAACGATATGGGAGTAGAGCCACAATAAGAGCATTGACGATGCGGGCACGGCCCAGTTGGGAGATGGATCGGTGAATGTGGGCAGCTACGATAGCATTGGCGGATGCAAGAATGTTGGCTTGGATGGTGGCTTGATCGAACCCTGATGGGCCAAACGGGATACCGAGGATCTTTGTGAATTGTCCGAAGCGGATTCTCTTCCACTCTGCGGGCATCTCGAACATGGGGGCGACGTCGCCGGTGACCACGCCTCGAGCAAGCACCAGCCATGACATCTTGGAGGGGTTGGGGGATACGCCGCTGGCGTCGCTAAAAAGAGACTGGCCATGCTGCAGGGCAATGAGGTCGGCCTGCGTTTTTAGGAAGCAGTGAACATCATCGAGATACGCCTGGCCGCGTAGGAGGGTGTCACAGTTGGCCTGGCAGCGTGGGCGGCCAACCGTCCAATCAGGTGGTCTCCACAACTTCGAAATTAGTGACAGCCTACCCACTGCACTTCCGCTTCTCATATTGCACTGTCACTCTCACTTTTGCACATTTGACCACCTGCCCGAATATCATTTATTGCTGCAACCTCACGCGTCCAGTGCATATGCTAAATTTTGTCTAGATGACCTTGCCTTCTTGAAAATCACAGCTCTAATTGTTAAACACTTCCTGCCAAGCTCTGGTCCATCTGTGTCTGTTGTTCCCTTGCCTTCTTGAAAATCACAGCTCTAATTGTTAAACACTTCCTGCCAAGCTCTGGTCCATCTGTGTCTGTTGTTGGTGATACCACCTGGGATCATGTTGACTCTACGATGTTTGATACGCCTGCTGATACCCCTCAGGTGCTGTTGCAAACGACACTGATCTAGGCAAATTATTACGGGGGCGAGCACGCGGAAGTATACACCCAGGTGGTTACAGAATTATTTGCTGGAGAGATGTCTCTAGAAGGTAAACTCATGGCGAATATTTGCACATTTCACGACCATAACGAGATCTTCTTCTTTATAATCCAGGCTCACTTCGAACTCACCTGCAGTTGCAATACCAAGTCCATTCTCTGCAGAACAAAACGCTTCTCGCGCTCTATTGTGTTTCTCAGACTTGTTTATTTGAATATCGAGGAAATCTTTACATACCTCCGATGCCCAAATAAGCAGGAAAAACAACCGCTGCTTCGATCTCAGCCTGTCATTATATTCTGATAATCGATGGTTCAGTTTAGCAATAGATGCTTTCATATCGATCTCTTGGCTGTAGTGCTCATATGTCATCATAACGTACGCACTCCATTTGTGCTTGTCATTTGGCTCTTTCATATAACCATATTCTGCCATTATATCAAATATCACATTATCTGCATCAAGACATTCCATTACGTTGAGATACGTAAGAGCCCGAGCTCCTGCTTCAATCAGACCGTAGTTGACTGCTTCTTCGTGTACATTATCAATTGCCTCATCATCCAAAATATCTTTGACTATATCAAACACTTGAATAATGCTCTTCGGGTCCTCATACTCCACACTCAGGAGATGCACAATAATTTGCTTCAAAATCTTCAATTTCCTTGCCTGATTCGAGCCATTTCTCGTCCGAGACAGTGAGAGTGTACTAATACCATTGCGGATATCCATCGTCTGTTAGAGCTTAAATCAAACAAAGGATTGATAAGATGTCAATGTATGTGTGGGAATGTGCAATGAGTATCCTCTGTCGCTGAAAGAACGAACTTTGCTGCTAGCCAGTTCTTATACAGTTGTTACAGTGCAGAAGTGTTTACAAAGATGCTCACGAGACACGTATTCTAAATATAGACGGTTGCGAGGACAGCTTGTCGTAGAATACAACGCAGCTCTCGTGAAGTTTGTTCTTGTTGCGTGTATTCTTGTTGCGTGTGCTCACGTGCCGTCTGTGCTATAGACACCCCTGTAACTCTGTTCTTCGCTTCCACTTCCACCACCATCTCATCCGCGTACAATGTTTACGCTGAGCAAACTCAGAGCGACTGAAGAAGAGCGAGGGCTCCTCCAACGGTTCGAAGGGGACTCGTCTGTTTCAACTTTCGAATTAATTTCTTTCAGATGGTAGAAGCTCTTTGGTTATGCTGGAAATGGAGAAAACAATGAAAGAGACCAGTGGCTATAAACACAGCTCCTTATGTATTTAATGACAAGTTCAATTGGGCGAGAACCAGGAATCAAGGACACCACCATTTCTCTCATTTAAATTCCGCATATGGTCCTCAAACCGCGTTTCTATGACTGAACATGTGGCTCCTCGAGAGGGCTTAATTGGATTAAACCTCCAGTTCCACTCTTTCGCCTGCGTGCCATCGACTAAAAAGATCGCTTGAATAAGATGGGGAAGCAAGAACGGATTGTTCAGCGCCTCAATGATTCGCGAGCCAGTGGCAGTTGTTGGAGAGACGTGGTTAGATAGGTATTGAAGAGCTGGATAGCGCGGTGCGCTGTAGTAGAAAAATGTTGTCAGCGGATCGTATTCACCCGCTGGAGCGTAGTGAGTCAGCTCCAACTGAACAAGCACTTTGGCGCCAATGCGGCCCAGCTTGATAACAAACTCCTGCTCCTTCTTTATCAGAGCCTTATTAGTTGTCGAGCATGCGCCAAGAACAAATCCAACACGAAGCTCAAATTTTGGACGCTGGATGCCACAAATCTTCAAATAAAG